GGACCTGAGAAGAGGAGGATCTGGACTGCTCTGTGCAAAACCATTACACAGAGCAGGTAAGTATAACATGTTTGCATGTTTGTTATTTTAAAAAGAAAAAAAAAAAAGCACCCCTCCCTTTTTTTTTTTTTTTTTTTTTACTTTTTTTTACTTTTTCTTTCTCTTCTCCACTTTCTCTCTCTCTCTCTCTCCCGTCCTCATATCTCATCTCTCATTTCCCTGGAAAAAGCGCTCTCCAGGCCTAATCCTCACTGAGCCGAACGAGTACAATGCACCGGTAAAGGACAGTCAGTATGCATACGATTTGTGGCTTTTTGTATTTTTATTCTAATTATATTCTGTGTTATTGATCTTCTAATATGGCTATGTGCAACATTGCTCCTCTACTGATCTCACCTCTGTGTACTTTACGATTGTTATTGTTCCGCCATGTCAGGAGGACTGTCAGCCATACTTATGTACCTTGTAATGTGCTGAAGAGTAGAATGAAAATTTAAAAAAAAAAAAAAAATTAAGGTTTACAATCAATTGAATACTCTACTTTTGGCATTACTAAAATCGCTTCTATCTACCAAACAGAATTTTTTTTTTATTTTTATTTTTGGCTTTGGTAGATGTCCCGCAGGGTAGTGCTCAGCCCCCCCATGCTATTTTTTGAGAATCCCTCGTCTAGAAAATGGCCATTACTGTATTTTAACATTTGACTCCTATTGAAATCAATGGGGTTCGGATTCAGCCCCTGAACTCTAGTTTGCCCAGCCCTTTCAGAACCGAACCCAGGTTTGTCCGGCTCCTCAGTAATGGCACTGCATTATAGTAATTAGACCATGGGCAGCATGCATGATAACTCCCTTCATGCTCTTCCATGAACATATATACAGGCTTATACCATCCAGGGTACCCAGAGCCTAATTACTTAAAGAAAACTACTAAAAACAGATAATTACTCCATGTACTAAGACAGACTGGCCTGAAGCTAGACCTCCAACTGGGGAAACACAGGAACACAATGAGACAATTAAGTATCCTGATACAGGTCACTTTTTGCCCTCCCCAGCATGGACTCCTGCTCCTCCCCTGAGGATAGCCTGTCAGTAACTCATCAGCTCCCAGCCTGGGGGCCCTTTTGTCATTATTTTCTTTGTAAAACTGGCTGCAGGAATATTTCCTGAAGGTAGATTAGGAACTGATGATCTATGGCACACCGCTGAGCTACTACTGGCTATTGAAAATGTACAGGCCAGTACCCCAGGCCATGACAGAACACTTCATGGGTAGGCAGCTAATGCAGTCAGGTACAACGTTTCTTATGAACACCCACTATAACAGTATCAATAAGGGCTTGTTCACATTGGAAGCTGGGGGGCTGTAAAAGTAGACAGCTGAGTCGTGGTTTTAAGCCGGGTATAGATGGATCGAATCTCAGCCGGTCCATGCTGAACTAGCCGAGATTCGATCTCTATGGGCAGTCTGGTTGTACTGAAGTCAATCCACTGATAGACTTGTGTACAACCAGCCTGTTGGACTCTTTGTATGCGATAGCTGCAAGTTTGATGCATTTTCCATTCATTTTAATGGGCGGGTGCATTTTTGCTGTGGTTTTTAAACATGCACTGAAAATACAGCATGCAGGACACGCCCGCACCACGCCCGCAGCACAATGGTGTGAAGAGTTCCATAGGATTTTGAGGAAAAGTATACCTTATAGCGCAGCTCCAAGCTATGGATGGAAGGAAAAGGATTACCCCACCGGCAAGTGAGCAGAGGGGAGCATGAGTTTGAGCGATTCCAGTGTCAGTCAATACAAATTAAGGGATGGACGCTGCTCAACTGACCCCAGGAGTCCAATGTTGAGGAATGGTCTCAGCCATCGTTCTGACCACGCCCTCAGGCCATTCCTCAACATTGGATTCCTGTGGTCGGTTGAGCATCGTATATCCCTACACTTGTATAGGATTTAGAGGGATGCATTTTTTCATGCATTTTCTTCTTCACACATTTTTAAAGCTCCAAAAACACATATAAAATGGATCAGTGTGTAAGGGTGATCCTGCCATGAAGGCACTTCCTGTTAGGATGGAACAACGCTCTTCTCTTCTCCTGCGTTGTCACCCTGTGAGCGGCTGTGTCAACACAAATTACACAGGCATGGTCCAGCGCAATGTTGTGCAGCAAACGCTGGAGTGAGTGCATGTGGATAGGAAATGTCTGAAAGAATGCAAGTGAATAAAAATTAATTTATGGAAAGGAAAGATGCTACAAGTAAGAATGTAAAATCATCGATTTTCTGTGATTTTACCTGCAAATTTTAAAGTTGGTGGCGAGGTCTCTTAGAAGTACATCTAAACACAAACTTAAAATATATTGCAGAATATCCAGTTCTTGACGGCCATAAACGGATCGTAATTTGCTCAAAAATTTGATCCATCTATATGCAGGCTGATTGCACTTAAGTCGATCTACTAATCAACTTCAGTAAAACCAGCCTGTCAGATTTTTTTCATGCGATCAGTGCTGGCAGCTATAGCCGCCAGCAGTGATCATTGTGTTTAGTTTCCATTTCTAGGCTCCTTTCCTTCTCCTTTTCTTCTCTTTTTCCTTCTCCGTCTCCTTTTCCTTGCCTTCTCCTTTTCCTTGCCTTCTCCTTTTCCTTGCCTTCTCCTTTTCCTTGCCTTCTCCTTTTCCTTGCCTTCTCCTTTTCCTTTCCCTCTCTTTTTCCTTTCCTTCTCTTTTCCTTTCCTTCTCCTTTCCTTCTCTTTTTCCTTTCTTTTTTATTTCCCTTTCTTTTCCTTTTCCTTTCCTTCTCTTTTTCCTTTCCTTTTTCTTTTCTTTTCCTTTTCCTTTCCGTCTCCTTCTCCTTTCCATTTTTTTCTCCTTCCTTCTCCTTTACTTTTTCCCTGGTGATTCTGCCAGTAACATACCATTTGTCCTAGGGTGACACCACTCACTGAACTGTATCTATAGAGAAACACTGTTGTCACTCTCTCCAAATGCGTACTACAAACACCTTCCCCTCTCCTCATTTCCATTACATAAGTGGAGTTGTTTTGTCATTCACATAAGATAGCTGGGAATGCTCATAATAAAGGTTCCTGATTTGAGTTCAGTGTACAGAAAGTTACAACAATGCTGGAATTCTGGCAGGATCAACAGATATTTTCTGTATTTGCAGAACATGTTATTATCCCAAAAAAAAACAAAAAACAAAACAAATGCAGTCAGCACATCAAAGGACTGATCAGTTGCAATATATGACACTATTGTTGCATTGAGATATGCTTTGAATGATTCCTTTTGTTTATTAGGGCCCATTCACACAAACTTTCATTGTAGTAATGCATGCACCACAATATATTTTATTGTGTGTTGTGGCGTTCATTCTCAATGGGCATCCAAAACTGGACAATAAGTCCCCCTGTTTTGTTTTCTACTGCAGCGAACTGCAATGTAAAGCCTGCATTGTGGTGCATTGTAAACTACGAATGTTCTTGAAATGCACTGGGGTGTCATTCAAAATGAACATCATCATAAAGCATTGCACCCTGCTTGACCCTCTACTACACGTTGCGGTAATGCACATGTTACTGAAGCTCCATGGTGCACATGAGCACTAAACTATATATTTTTTTTTCTCTTAATGGTCTTCCTACTTCCTTACTGTGGGCTGACTATGGTGTAATCAACAACCATCAAATCTTTAAAACTGGACATTTACCCAATACTGAATAGTGATTTCTCATGGAACATGTCCACCCTATTTTTGTATAGTTAGTTCTTTCATGCAACCTTGGGGATCTCAACCATTGGGCAGGTTAGAAGACCTTGTCCTCTCGCAATTGTCTTCTACAACACCAAGCCTGTGGTGTGCGGTTCCTCTTCTAAACAGGAGCAACTAGAGCACTCAGGAATCCAAGAGACATTATGGCACATCCATCTTGGATGTCCATGGCCAGCTATACCCTTAGGAACCTAACATACAAGACAATCAACAATCTACATCTTCGATTGTAAAAACAGCAACAAGTAGAATACTCAGCAGTCCAAGAGACGTTGTGACTCATCCATCCATCTGCTCTCCAATGTCCATGGCCAACTATACGCTTAAGAATCCAACATACAAAACCATCCACATCTGCCCCAAGCTACATTACCAACTTTATGTCAAAGTACTACCCCAACTGTCCACTTCACTCCTCCCAAGACCTCCAAGCTTCCTTGTCACCTCCTCCCATACTCTCTCCCAGGACTTCTTCAGAGCTTCTCCCATCTTTTGGAACTCACTACCTTAATCTATTTGACTGTTACTCAAAGTCAAACTTTAGGAAATTCTTGAAAACTCATCTGTTTAGGGAAGCCTAACCCTCCTCTGCTTTTAGTTTCTCCATCTACTCATGCATTACAGGCAGGGCTGTGGATAAGGGGGTACCACTAGTCCTCCTGTACAGGGTGCAGGCCAGCAGGGGGGGGGTCCAGGCAGCTGGGTGAATCGGATGTGGGCAGGGAGAGTGATCGACATAGCAGGTTTGGCAATTACTGAAACCGATCCCCTGTAGGGCTCTCTCTGCAGCAGCTGAAAGCCAGATAATGAGGTATGGTGGTGCTAGGGGACCCAGTAGAGGAGGCATACAATCAATATAAAATGTGAACAATGCAGGAGTGGTGGTAATATACCACCCAAGAGTCCATATGTGTCCATACACAAATTAGTGACCATCTCTATTTTTAGCAGCTGAAAGCTGGCTTCTTCTCCTCTCCCTCCCGCTGCCTTTCAGCTACTGCAGAGAGAGCCATACAGGGGATTGGTTGCTGGGGGGGGGGGGCTGTCAAGTTGGCTGTACGGGGCCCCGTGGTTTCTAACAACAGCCCTGATTACAAGTAATACCTTTTCTATAACTTGTCCCCTCTCTCGTTTTAGATTGTAAGCTCCCATAAGCATGGTCCTCTTGTATTATAATAATAATAGGAAGAATAATAATGCATATTAATAATAATACCCTCCAGCCTTCACTATCGTGCCTAAAGGGCCGCTACGATGGAGAAGCTGACACTTTTCAGAGACTATAGCTCTACAAATGATGTGCAGTGATAATGCACTGGTGATGGCCAACTATACATCTACTCCCCAAGCTTTCCAGAGAGGACACTCCCACGGTAAGCCTGATTGCTGATTTTAGCTGATGTGTACCAGCTTTTAAGTGTTACTAAACCCAGGACCCTGCAATCACTATATCTGGTCTCCCCGGACCGTGCAATCACTATATCTGGTCTCCCCGGACCCTGCATTCACTATATCTGGTCTCCCCGGACCCTGCAATCACTATATCTGGTCTCCCCGGACCCTGCATTCACTATATCTGGTCTCCCCGGACCCTGCATTCACTATATCTGGTCTTCCCGGACCCTGCATTCACTATATCTGGTTTCCCCGGACCCTACAATCACACTATATCTGGTCTCCCCGGACCCTGCATTCACTATATCTGGTCTGGACCCTGCATTCACTATGTCCGGTCTCCTCCGGACCCTGCATTCACTATATCTGGTCTCCCCGGACCCCTGCATTCACTATATCGGTCTCCACCGACCTGCATTCACTATATCTGGTCTCCCCCGGACCCTGCATTCACTATATCTGGTCTCATGCATTCACTATATCCGGTCTCCCCGGACCGCGCATTCACTATATCCGGTCTCCCCGGACCCTGCATTTACTATACCCGGTCTCCCCGGACCCTGCATTCACTATACCCGGTCTCCCCGGACCCTGTATTCACTATATCCGGTCTTCCCGGACCCTGCATTCACTATATCTGGTCTCCCCGGACCCTGCATTCACTATATCTGGTCTCCCCGGACCCTGCATTCACTATATCTGGTCTCCCTGGACCCTGCATTCACTATATCTGGTCTCCCTGGACCCTGCATTCACTATATCTGGTCTCCCACAGTACACACAACGTGGAAATTCAATTATTTTAGTAAACATAAACTGCTAAATTCCTTTTCTCATCAGCAGTTACCACAGTCTTGTGTCTTCTATCAGTGCCCAGCTGAACACTGATTGTAAGAGGAGTGTTCATTCTCCTCTGACTGTACTATGAGGCTGCATGACCTGTGACCCTCTGTCTGGACAGCGCTGATTGGCCCTGTGCTGATCACATGCACCCAGGGGCGGACTGACCATTTGGAAACTCGGGCACTGCCCGAGGGCCCGGGGTCAGTAGGGGGCCCCATGAGATGCCCCTGGTACCTTTTTCATAGGCTTTTTTGAGTTTGGGCAAGGACACAGGGGCCCCATGATCCCCTATGGCCCGGGGGCCCCATGAGTTGTCAGTCCGCCCCTGCATGCACCCTCCCAAAAAAAAAAAACTCTAGCAAAAAAAACACCAAAGGCAGCATGTGCAGAGTGCCTCCTAGATCCATACTATCAGCAGATGGATTGGGGACAGTGGAAGAAGGGGAGGATCAGAGAAGACAGGATCAAAACAACTTTTTTACACAATGTGAAGGAATTACCCCTCTGGTTTCACAGTGAGCATAACAAGCATGCTTTACTGCATATACAGACTGATTTTACTGTTGTGGGTTTAGTAACACTTTACTCTTTCAGGTTCTTAAGACAGCTGAATAAAAAATAATCAGAATTGATACACTTCCGTGAAGTAGAGGGAGTTTTAAGATATGAAAACTTTCTTGAAAGGATAGTTCTAATTTGTAATTATGAAACGGGGCCGGTAAAACAAATACGCCTGTGCTAGTATCTATCAATGTAACCTCAAGAGATGTTTCCGGAAAAGGAACTGTGGAACTATAGATAACTTGGGGTTTCTTTGTTCCTTTTTCATAACAAGGTAAACATTTTACACGTGACGCTGCGTGGGCGGCACCAAAAAGTCCATGGCTTGATGTAAGAAGATTTATGACTCAGAATTTCACCTTCTTTTGGAAGTATTTTAACCTTATGAATAATATGTGCTTTTTACTGGGTTACAACATCTGCAACGATGTGAATGGTTCAGCTTTCTCCTCCATTACATGTCAAAATCATCGTTTTGCTAAAAAATTACTCAGAACCCTAAAAATGATATATGTTAAGGAGAGGCCCTAGAGAATAAAATGGTGAGTGCTGCAATTCTTTGTCACATTGTATTTGCGTTTTTTTAAATGCACATTTTTTGGGCAAAATACACTGTGAGGAATTTTAGTGCACACAAATACAATATAATACCCAAAGGTTTGGTAAAATGTAAAAGGTGATGTTGTGCTGAATAAATAGATGCCTAACATGCCACTCTTTAAAATTGCGTATGCCTGTGGAACAACGCCAAACTACAGTACTTAAACATCTCTGTAGGCGATGTTTTAAATGTGTTTACATGTTACCATGCCTTTAGAGTCACACAGGAGGTCTGGAGCTAGGATTATTGCACTCGCTCGGACGTTCGCCATGACACCTCACATGCAGGGGCGGACTGACAACTCATGGGGCCCCCCGGGCAATAGGGGATCATGGGACCCCTGTGTCCTTACCCAAACTCAAAAAAGCCTATGAAAAAGGTACTAAAGGGCATCTCATGGGGCCCCCTACTGCCCCCGGGCCCTCGGCAGTGCCCGAGTTTCCAAATGGATCCCTGCTCACATGTGTAGTGTAATTGCCAGTTACGTATGCATGTGGAACCAGAGGATAGGGGCACTTTACTTTTATTTATGTATTTTATTTGAATTTTATTTTTATTGTTACACTTTTTTTTTTTTTGCTTTCACTAGGAATGTAAACATCCCATGTGACAACTTTCAGCATTGACAGGTCCTCTTTACTGAGACATCTGGGGTCTATCAGACTCCAAATGTCTCCTATTCCCTTAACAGAATCCGATCAGACCAAGATTGGTCTGATCCAATGCTTGTACAAGCTAGTAATACCAGAAGTGACAAAATTCTGGCAGCTTCCCGTTCCTAATTCCATAGAGATGACAGGAGACGATCTGGTGTTCGAAAACCTCTATGGTAAGATGGCAAAACCACCGGCTTCAGTGCCGGGCCCCTCGATTGCATGGGAGAGCTTGGACAGTTGTAAGCCGCCGTGTACCGGTGTGGGCCCCCCAGGATACAGTGAAGTCACGAACGAGGAAGGCAACCCCAACACCAGCTTTTGCCACAACAGAATTTTACTTAGATATGGCAAATAAACACAACCACAAATGCTGGAAACATACAATAAATTTACATACACCCCAGCCCAAAGGCTGAGACCCTTGTGCTGCACAGCACAGCACCCTCCGATGGATGAAGGTAGAAAGTGAAGTAATTTACCTACTGGTGGGCACAACTAAGCTGCCACACCTTACCTGTTATTACCCTAAAAGAGCAGGAATCAGTGTATGGGTGTACGGTATGGGCTAGCCTGCGGTGCAGCACAACAGCTTACAATCTTACACAAATCTACAGTATTCCCTCTCCCATAACTGGTCCTGTAGCACATGCCTGAGTATTCCTTCTGAGCAAAACGCCAGTCTGGCTTGAGTTTGTAGGATTTTATCAGCTCTCCAATGTGAAATGTCACTTTAAGTTGTGGAGTCCTTCCAATAATCAGTAACAACACTTGTGGCCTGACACCAACAGAGACCCTAACTAACTAACTATAGGCCTGAACTCAGTCTCTAGGCGCCAACACTGAAATGAGGTGCGTGCACAATCTTACCGACCCAGGTCTGCTTTGCATCTGCTGGTGACTCTGAACAGAACAAATGTCTCTCCAACTAGCATGCAATCTTGCCGTATATGTTGCTTAGTTCCTCTGGTCTCATCAGCTTCCTGGCAGCAAACTCATCAGCTTCACTCAGCTGCAGGTCTGGTTACTGAGGGACGCATGCACACCTGGATGTCATCGGATTCTCAGCTCACACGGCCCCTTCATTCAGCATCGTCCAAAACATGGCTGCAGTCTCCTCTTCCTGTTCACTAAACTCCAAACTCTGTGTGCAAAACCCCACCTCTTCATGAATATACAAATATCTATGCAGTCTGAGGCTGTGTTAGAAAAACAGTGACATCTTGTGGCTAAACCACAGAATGTCAGTCAAAACATTAATTTACTTCCACACAGCGTTCAAACAATGAGAGCTGTTTCCCCATCTCACACAGGCACCGGAGGGTGACGAGGGGGAGATACAAGCCTTTTACATACAAGGGAATCGCTGGCTGAAAAAAAATACTGGGATGATACCTGTAGCTGCAGGTAACATCCTGGTAGAACCACTTCTACCAGAGGATGTACAGGTATATCCTATGGGGAAGGAACTGGTTAAAGAGCAAACGGATAGTTTCACTGATTCTCCTCTCAACCCCCCCCCCCCCAATTTTGCCACTTTTTTGGGGGAGGGGAATGGGTACCTATTTCTGGTAGATACCCCACTCTCACTTTCGCTGGAATCTCCTAGGCCAGTGGTCTCCAAACTGTGGCCATGGGGCTGGATGTGGCCCTTTGCTTGCTTTTATCCGGCCCTTGGGTCATTATCCCCCCAACGTCAGCAGCAGCGGGGCATACTTACTGTTATAACAATGGAGCACTAGCTCCCTCACTGACACCAATGAAGGGACAGTATTACTCTCATCGATACCAAAAATGGGGCACTATTCTTCCCACTGACACCAATGGTAGGGCGCTATTCCTCCCACTGACACCAATGATGGGGCACTACTCCTCCCACTGACACCAATGATGGGGCACTACTCCTCCCACTGACACCAATGGTAGGGCTCTATTCCTCCCACTGACACCAATGATGGGGCACTACTCCTCCCACTGACACCAATGAAGGGGGAACTACTCCCACTGACACCAATGATGGGGCTCTATTCCTCCCACTGATACCAATGATGGGGCTCTATTCCTCCCACTGATACCAATGATGGGGCACTATTCCTTCCACTGACACAAACAATGGGAACTATTCCTCCCACTGATACCAACGATGAGGCACTATTCCTCCCTATGATGGGGCAATATTCCTCCCTATGATGGGGCACTATTCCTCCATATGATGGTATGATGGGGCACTATTCCTCCCTATGATGGGGCACTATTCCTTCCCACTGACACCAACAATTGGGCACTATTCCTAACATTGTTAACAAGAAAGAGGCACTATTCAGCCCCCTAATACCAATGATGGGGCAATATTCCTTCCATTGATACCAGCAAAGGGCAATATTACTCCCGCTAATACCAATGAAGGGGCATTGTTTACTCCCACTAATGCCAGGACACACTCTTCTCCCACCCGCTACAGTCCGGCCCCTGTAGAGTTTGAAGAACAGTAATATGGCCCTTTGCTTTGAAAGTCTGGAGATCCCTGGCCTAGGCAATCCCAACAGAAGTTCTCTCCTCCCTGCCCGCAATCTACTGGAACACATCATGGGTTCCAGGACGCTGTGGGAACATTTAGAGAGTGCATGCGTAGTGGGGAGCCAGCTGTAAAGCCACAAGGAGTCACAGCTGGCTTCATACAGTTAACATGGCGATAACGGGGACCTGAAGACTGGCGAAGCACCGGCCCGGGTGAGCACAGCACTGGATACCTGAACTGGTGAGTGTCTGTTTAATACAAGTCAGCAGCTACAGTATTTGTA